TATGAGTGGAGCTGAGCGGAGCGCACACGCATAGAGCGGGATAATACGCAGAGCGTCACACCACGTGAAAGTGAAACCTGAGCGGTGAACTAATTTTCGGCAGCCGAAATTTCGGTGCATCTCTAATTATTGGCGACATCAGAAATGGCTATTATATAATAGATGCTTTAAAAAAAAAAAAAAACATTTTAGCAATTTAAAAATATTAAAAAATGATTTTTTACACGGCACCCCTGCTCTCGACAGACCCCCGGTTGGGAAACACTGCTCTAGGCCGCCATGTGTGACGCTGTGTTTCGTTGTGAAAGCGAAACTACTTTGTTTGGCCTTCCAAAAGAGGACACGACTAGAAATCAGTGGTTAAGTTGTATTTACAACACTGTTCCAGAACTCTTCAACCCAAATATTCAGATGTGTGCAGTGCATTTTATGAGGACTGTTTCCTGATCCTGGTAGAGTAGACCAGTGTTTCCCAACCTTTTTTTTGTCGCGGCACCCTTTGGAAATTTTAACAAACTTGTGGCACCCTACAAAATTAATTTTGTCACAATATTTGAATTTCTAACTTCGATATGATCATTTGAAAAGTATAGATATTCGGTACAACAGGGAAGAACTGCAGAATATAATGTCATACAGATATTTTTAATATTATAAAAAAATGTTGTCCATCAATGAGTAGGCTGAGTAGGCTAATTTCTAATGAAGAGACCAATTTATATGACAGATTTTAATGTAGGCTTTTTAAACATTATAAACATTATGAGATAGCTAGTTATAATGGTAATTTTTTATTTTACAGTGGGGTAATTTTGGTGCAGTAGCACGAGATAGCTTGATTTCAAACTTTGAATTGAATAAAACAATGACAAGTAAGCAGTCAGTAATAAAATAAGAACAAATAAAGAAATTAATAATGATAGCACAAATAAAAAATAACGACAGGCCTTCGAATTAAATAAATTGTTTTTTAGTTTTTCAGGTAGGTCTAACAGTAGGGTTAAGATATTTAACTTTTTTTTTTTTACCAATTATCCAAATAATGTTTAGTCCTAGAAAGCTATTATTATCAGAACACGAGAGCATAACATAGCGGTTAGCGGAACAATGAATGAGAGGGCAGCGTTACCAGAGTTGCCCATATACCACACCATGTTACTGTACTACATCGATGTTTCCTGTCGGCTCAATTTTTGAGTGGACTTTGCTGTTCCGATGAGCATGAACGGTATACGAGTGGAGCGACTGAGCGGAGCGCACACGCATAGAGCGGGATAATACGCAGAGCGTCACACCATGTGATAGTGAAACCTGAGTGATGAACTAATTTTCGGCAGCCGAAATTTCAGTGCATCTCTAATTATTAGCAACATCAGAAATGGATATTATATAATAGATGCTTTTTTGAACATTTTAGCAATTTAAAAATATTTAAAAATGCTTTTTTTACACGGCACCCCTGCTCTCGACAGACGGCACCCCGGTTGGGAAACACTGAACTAACCAATAAGCACTGTTTACAGAATTTATTAATATAGATTTATTAAAATTGAGTGTACTGAGAAACCTCCATACAGCTTACATAAATGCAAGTTCTCAGAATTTCATTTATGATGAAAAACATGTTTGACAATTAACATTTAACCACAAATTTTTGAGACACTCAATTAGAGCATAAAACCAGTCCCACCCATTTTGATTTCGGTTTGCTGTGTTCCCACTGGTTTTGCACACATATTAGTAAGCAAGGCCACTTAATTTCAGATTTTACTCCATCATATGAGCCCATAATAATGATCACACTCATATACAAACAAATATGTCTGACAAAAGTGTTTCATAATCCTGCTGCTCAAAGACAGGTGTGGGGTAAACGGATTCAGATCTTTCAAATGACTTGCATCAGCCAGTGACACTGCTTTCCCAGCACTGGATGGCGCACTTCAATTCATCTGACCAACAATAAATGTCATTCAGCAGCTTTATTAGCATTTTTCTATCTTAAATACATGATGAAACGCCTCTGAAATCAACATAAATCAAAGAAGCTCAAACAAATTCTTCGTTTTTCCCTGTATGTGTCTGCAAACCTTTAAAACTCCGTCATAATCACGAAAACACGCACAAATTATACTTCTGATTCTCTTTTACTAAAGCAGTACCAAACTACTACTACTGTCATTGTTCTTGTTTTTAATCTATTAACAATTAAAGCACTTGAAGTCAATTAAACGGTGGGAGAGGGACACAGTTAATTTTAGATGTGCCACGATGGCACGAGGATACCCTGCATGTCAGTCCATTGAGCAGATGAGCGAGCTCAGCTGCAAAATGCATTGTAGTTTAGAGTATATTAAACACATCTCATGTGTACTTACCTAGAGGTGGGTTGCTACTGCTGATAGTCAAGTTTAGCGCCATGTCGTTCCTCCTGGTTTGCTCGGAATGGCCCTGTCACACTTCCAACATCAAACTACTTCACAAGCCACAAAGCTGCTCAGCGCCGCCTGCTGTGAGAGCGCAGCGCTAGAATGAGCCGGGAAACACTGAACCCTGAAACTATGGTTCCGGACATTTTCCTATGCTGCTGTGTTATTGTGTGCCCCCTTCTTTTGAAATTGGAAGGCATAATGTAGAAAAATAATAGGTACAATATTAAAATTATAGGGTAACGTTCTGTAAAACTTTCCAGGCACCTTTCGCTTTTCGCTTAGAGTCATTTTTTTGTAATTCAGGTTTGTAATATTTTTTTTTTACAGTCTATTAAATGAAATTAAAAATATAAAATCTTAAATATGATAGAAATGGTCACAATTGTGAGATAAACATATTTCATAAATAATTTCTCATAAATTATGAGAATTTCCCTGTATGTAATACAGCAAAACAAACATGTAAAATCAATATACTTCCTAAAGGAGGCGCTATAAGCCTTCAAAATACATTGATCGATTTTATTTAAGGTGTCAATAAACTAACATTATATATATACAGTGTTGGGAAGGTTACTTTGGAAATTTAATAGGTTACAGATTACAAGTTACCTTACTTAAAATGTAATAAGTAGTGTAACTTTTCAATTACTTTATTAAAGTAATGTAACTGATTACATTTGATTACTTTTTGATTACTTTTCTA